AAAAAAAGTGGAAAGAAAACAAGATGATACCTAGTAATTAATACATGGATCAACAAAATTTTGAAATCTTCTTCAAAATCTTTGGATCAACAAAATGTGGTATACACAGATAGTGCTACATGATTTGGCCGTAAAAGTGGAACTAATCTTTAATACATGCTCTTATGTGCATGGATATAAAAAAATTTTGTTAAGTGAAAGAACCCTGAGATTAAGTATTCTATGATCTATTTTTATGAAATGTCCAGAATAAACAAATTGCTATTATTTAGATGTAAGGTATCTCCAAAAGCTTGTGTGTTGAACAAATGTTGGAGATGACATGAGATTATGAGAGCTATAACTGAATTGGTGGATTAATCCACTTGATGGATTAGTAATTTCAAAGGATAACTGTATGGGGCGGTAACTAGTGTCAGGCGGGGCATGGTTAGAGAAATCTGGTCACTGGTCACTTGGTCCCTTCAGGGTTTAACTTTTGTCTCTGGTGTCTGAATCTCTTTCTCTCTGCTTCCTGGCTCATGAGTTGAGCAGCTGTCCTCTGCCACACCATTCCACCATGGTCTCTCTCTTGGGCTCAGAGCAATGGAGTAGGCTGACCATAGACTGAACTTCAGAGACGGTGAGCCCCCAATAAACTTCCCTTCTCTAAGTTGTTTTTGTCAGGTATTTTGGTCACAGAAATGAAAAGCTGCCTAACACAGAAATCCTTAGAAATAGAAAATTCGTTGTGGTTGCCTAGGGCTGAGGGAGAGAGCAGGGGAGGGCTGAGGGGAAGAAGAACAGGGAGGCAGTGACCTGCTCATGGGATTAGAGATACTTTTTGGGGTGATAAACATGTTCTGGTGATGGCTCTACAACCTTGTGAATATACTACAAACCACTGAAGTGTACCCTTTGTATCTCAATAAAACTATCAGTAAACCACAAGCAGAGATACTATTCAGCAATAAAAACAATGACCTACCCCTATATGCCACTACGAGGCTGACTCTTAAAATCCTACCACCAAGTGAAAGACCAAGACCAGAGTTGCCTGGGGTTGAGGACAGGAGGAAGCCCTGACCACGGGTGGGCATGCACAACTGTCCATGGCCATCAAATGCCCTATACCTAGACAACAGCCAGGGTGGCACGGCTATCAATTTACTAAAACTTACCAGACTCTAGATTTGTGATACCTGAATTTTATGTACATCATGCTCTCCCGAAAAGCGTGTTAAAAAAAAAAAAAAATAGAAGGGGGCTGGGCACATGGCACACACTTTTAATCCCAGTGGCTTGGGAGGCTGAGGCAGGAGGATAGCAAGTTCAAAGCCAGCCTCATTAACTTAGTGAGGCCCTAAGCAACTCAGTGAGATTCTGTCTCTAAAAAAAAAAAAAAAAAAAAAAAAAAAAAGGCTAGGGACTTGGCTCAGTGGTTAGTGGCCCTGGGTTCAATCCCTAGTACCAAAAAAAAAGAAAAGAAGGAGAGTTGAGGATGCAGTTTGGTGGTAGAATGCTTGCCTAGCATGCAGGAGGCCCTGGGTTCAATCCCCAGAACTGGGGAGGAAAAAAAAACAGCAGATTTCCTGTTCTGCAGGGAGGAGTATAAAGTGATATACACAATCACTTTTGGAACGGTCTGGCAACACCTAACCAAATATCAACATGTGCAGTTTAGGATGCAGCCATTTACCCCCAGATATATATATATATATGTATATATCCAATAGAGATGAGTCTCTATGTTCATGAAAAAGCATGCCCAAGAATTTTTCATAATCACTAAAACTTGGGGATGATCCAGGATTTCGTGTATACTGTAAGATGTAAACAAATTCTGGAACAGTCAACACTGAGAAATTCAGCAGTAAGAAAGAACCACATCTACAGGCAATGACGCAGGGACACTCAAAACCAACAGGCAGACAAAGCAGCATGACACACTGAAGGAACCACCAGGTGATTCCAGGTACATGAAATGTACAAACAGGCCAAGCCACTTTATAGCAGTGGTTACGTCAGGATCAGGTGGTCGTGAGTTCGCTGAGGGGCTGGGGATGTTGATTTATTGATCTGGGCACTTGTGACTCATGTGTGTTAAGTTTGGGGATATTTATCATGGTATGCACATATTCCATGTGACCTTTTTGTGTGTGGGGGACACTCTAATGTTGAAGGCTGGGCATGGATTACACCTACAATCCCAGCGACTCAGGAGACTGAGGCAGGAGGATGGCAAGATTGAGGCCAGCCTCAGCAACTTAGCAAGGCTCTAAGGACTTAACAAGACCCTATCTCAAAATAAAAACACCAAAAAAAACGGCCTGGAATTGTGGTTCAGTCGTTAAAGCACCCCTGGGTTCTACCCTTGGTACCAAAACAAAACAAAATAAAATATCAAAGGAGTTCAGGAAATGACATTCCCAAATATGCTACTTTGGATTCCAAATTGGATTCCAAATTGCTTTCCCTGGGTTCTCCTTATCTGCCTGCAGACACATACTCTAGAAGGAACTCCATGGTCATGCATACCCTCCCTGGGAATCTCACCAGCCAGCAAAGACTGACTTGTATCCCAGGGGAGGCTAGGGGTCGGCTGTTACATAGGTAACAGCCCAACAGACTTCGTCATAGGGTGTTACCTATTCTTTAAGGACATATTTGCCTTTGCCAGACATCATTTCCTCTCCCCTCTCCCATCTGAGGGGAGTATACAAGCTCCCAGAACCTACTGCATATTTGGATACTCAATCTTCTTCAGAGTGATATGGCTGAATGGCCAATACATTAGTAGACTTTTCCCCATATGAATCTGCCTATAGTTTATTTCACTGACTCAATTACCTGGGGGGAGGGGGGTAAGAGAAAGTTTACACTCCCCAATGGTTTAAAAAACAAAACTGTGTCCCGGATCTCTCTTTTCTCTGTCCCTTGATCCTGCAAACTGTACACGTAGAAAAATGAGAATTCATATCCCATTTGAATCAAATGTATGATATGTCAAGATCATTGTATTGTCACGAGCAACTAATAAAAATAAATAAATAAAATAAAATAACCTGGAAAATACAAAAAAAAGAAACTATTTTAATATTCATACAACATAAGAGTCAGCAATGGGTATAAGGATATTTGGAACAAGCCTCATAAAATGTAATTCTCCACATTTAAGGACGGGTCCATGGCACGGGCCAAACTCAGAGAAGGCCTATTTGGTAGAAGATCTTGCCCAGTTTGACACTTTAATGCAAGGAAAACCATTCCATTCTGTCCAGGCTAATAAAGGCCACTCTCTCTCTCTACACAGCAGATGTATCTGTTGCAGGCTCAACCTATTTATCAGTGCCACAGCCTCAGCAATTCTGAGCCACCAAATCTGGTACTCACTTGAGTTATAAATTCTTTACCTTCTACATATCTCTTAAGAGTCCTCCTTCTCCCAAGCAAGTTCCCTTGGGAGAAAGTCTCTTGAGCTTATTTATTTTTCAATTTTTAGCTAAGTAAAAAAAAAAAAAAAAAAAAAAAGTATCCCAAGTGAGGTTTTCCATGCCCACCTGACCTGAAACCTCTCACGGGTTTTAAGCTTTCTGAATTCTCCCAATGCCCCAACACAGTAATGCCGGCAACACAGTGTCAGCTCTGATGACTTGGATCTTAAGTTGAAATTGAGGAAAGCTGGCTAGGAGAAAATCAGAGAGGCAGGAAGGGAAGGGTCACATGCCCCCACTTCCAATTCCTCTTCTTCCAGCTGTTGTTCAGATAGAAGAGTCTGAAAATGGGATCCTTGTTCTCAAAAAAGTGTGTTCGAGCAATGACCCACTGGTTCCTATAGAATTTGCATACTTAAAAATTGGTCCTTTAGCTGGGTGTGGAGATGCTCTTGAAACAAAATCTGCCCAGTTAACTGATCACACCAAAGACCACAGTTTACACCCACATTGATAAATGACAAAGCTCTTCCCAGGTCACCCAGTTCTGAAGGAAGGGAGCACTGAGCTAGGAAATGCCCCTCTCTTCACACCAAAGGAAACACATGTTCATTTCATGTGAGAAAGCTGAAATGGAAAATATCAAGATGCTCGGGAAGATAAACTTTTGCTTATCAGATATGGGAGTTAGCTGTTGAATAGTATTAAGCAGCAAGGGGTTTCCAGTGGGGGGTGCAGAGGCGGACCTGGAGCTTTCGCTGCTGTGAACAGGAACAGGAAAGCTGCATACATGAGGGGTTGGGAGTAATGCAAAGGCAATGATGTTGAGCTCAGAGAAAAATGGAGAAATTCCACAAAAGTATTCTTTAAATGGCACTAGTTTTGAAGTACAAGGTAAAAATGCAGAGAGGATGACTAATTTATTACTTGTCAAAAGGGCAAATTTGGCGGGGTATAATACTGGGGATGGAACCCAGGGCACTTATCCACTGAGCCATATCCCTAGTCCTTTTTATATTTTAGAGACAGGGTCTCACTGAGTTTCTTAGGGCCTTGCTAAGTTGCTGAGGCTGACTTTGAACTTGTGATCCTCCTGCCTCAGCCTCCTGAGCTGCTGGGATAACAGGCATGGGCCACCTCATCTGGCCCAAATGCGCAATTGTTTTTTTCCAGGGTGGGAGGGGTGGGTACCAGGGATTGAACTCAGAGGTACTCGACCACTGAGCCCCACCCCCAGCCCTATTTTATATTTTATTTAGAGACAGGGTCTCACTGAGTTGCTTAGGGCCTCACCAAGTTGCTGAGGCTGGCTTTGAACTCATGATCCTCCTGCCTCAGCCTCCTGAGCCACTGGGATTACAGGCATGCATCACCACACAGGGTTCCAAAAGGGCAATTTGTAACATATCCATGTGACCCACATTTTTCCCACAGCCACTTCTATTTATCACCCAAGGCCAGTTTCTGCTAGCAGAGAATGATATACTCTTACACCAAGTTCCAATTCTTGGCTGGCTTTGAACTCCTTTGAATTTAAAGTATCTTATGATAAGGACTCTTCCTCCAGGACAATTTCTCCAACTCTACCTTTAGATGCTTCTGTCCCGAGTGGGTTTTCTAAGAAGTCGGCCATATCGTGGTTCCAGGCGTCCCGGATGGCGGACTTGGACACCACCCTGTCATTCAGTTCCTGCTGCGGTCGGAAGTTATTTCTGAGGTACTCCACCGACTTCACGTGGTCTTGCTGCTCCGTGGTAAAGATGGAATAAAAAGCCTCCAGCTGAACAGAGAACCAGAGGGGGAGAAAAAAATCCACATCAATGAAAAATGCTCTGTGATACAAAGCAGGTGGGGGCTATAAGGACACAGAAGGGTAGGAAGAGCTGCTGGCAAGACTCATGAACCCGCAGGACACCTCCCAGGGGCTTATATGGCTATGGTCTCTCAGCTAACCTGGACCACTCTCCATTTAAGGGCTGTGCAGGACTATTGGAGTCTACCCCAGATAAGAATCCTTTCTACAATGTTCCCTGCCAAGAACTATAGCATGAGGAACAGATTTAAGGTAAACCTGGTAGGTCCTGGAGCCAAAGAGCCTGGGTATGAATTCTACCTTTATTCTTCACTTGCTCTGTGACCCTAGCAAGTTGCTTAACTTCTCTGAGCCTCCAGGCCCTTCAATAAAATGGTAATAACTGTACGAAGATCTACCTGATAGGGTTTTGGTAAATATGAGACAATGACACAACACTCAGGGTACAGTGCTCAAAACAGTTCTTGGCACGCAATAAGAGCTTGATGAATATTAACGATTTAGTTCTTATTAATAAGCCTCTTCTGACGCACTAGGATTAAGTTCAGCTAATCAACGAATGCATAGGTAAATTGAACTGCCCAAGTTCAACATTACTCAATGGCTAGTCATGGACAAACTATTCCAGATTCCTAAAACTCAAGTTTCCTCATCTGTACAACATCTGTAAGAGTAGAACCTATCTTCTAAAGTTCTTGAAAAGATTAAATTTAGTAAGTTTCTTAGCACATAGTAAGCCATCTAGAAGATCGGCTGCTACTATTAATCTTAAGAAACACCTTCCATAAGAATGCTAGCAAAACTTTTAGTGAAAATGAAGAAAAAAATCAGAACTCTAGGATCACATTTTTATTATCAAAAGGGATTCTGTACATTCATACCATTAAGAAAGGTCTAGTCGGGCGTGGTGGCACATGCCTGTAATCCCATTGACTTGGAAGGCTGAGGCAGAAGGATTGCTAGTTCAAAGCCAGCCTCAGCAATTTAGCGAAGCTCTAAGCAACTCAGTGAGACCCTGTCTCTAAATAAAATACAAAAAAGGTCTGGGGATGGGGCTCAGTGGTTAAGTGCCTCTGGATTCAATCCCCACTACAAAAAAAAAAAAAAGCGCAGGATTCTGTTTTGTTAGACAAAATGACTTTCTAAAATTATATGGAAGGAATTAACAAAGACCCTCTGGAGATGGTCCACGGCAAGACCAACCGACATGATTAAAAGGATGGAAAATAAATCCTGCGAAGAAAGGTTAAAGAAAGTGGAATTGTTTAGCCTGAAGAAAAGGCAAGTAAGGAGTAATTTGATTAAAGGCCCTTGTACGTGGAAGATGCTGACCAGATCTTTCCCATGTCCAGAGAAGGGGGAATAAAAGGAAATTGGCTCAAATTAAAGCCACACAGATGTGAGTTGAATAAGGGAAGGAATCTCTTTTAACTCTCAGGATGATATAATTTAGCTTTTTTTAAAAACATGGACTGGGCGAGTTAGACTGGAAATATTCTGGAAGAGACCGCAGTGGGTCCTGAAATAGGCTCATCTCTGAGATGCCAGAGAGACGGGCTCTGCAATATGGCTCCAAAGTTGGTTTCTTCTCTACAATGCTTGCTTCTTTCACATCGAGCCTATAGTGCTCTTAAGAAGTTTATTTCTGATGCCTCCAAAGAGAATTAGTCACCTAACTGTAAAAAGAGGCAGGTTCCGAATTTAACACACACACACACACACACACACACACACACACACAAAATGCCTTCACTTAAATTGCACTTAGAGCTTAATGACATCCTACATCCGGCTTAAAAGCTCAGGCTCCTTCCTGGTCATTAACTCAACCTGCCCAGATTTTGAAGGAAGGATGTGATGCTTCTGAGAGAGAAAGGATGACCTGAATGATATTATATTGTCAATTGGATCACAGCTTCGCCTGACAGTCACACAGAACAGTTCCAGGAGGAGGGCAAGCTTAGCAGACTCGTCAGATGCCCTTATGTAGGTTGGCAGCATCCACAAAACCCTGCCATTCCTCTAAATGGAATAAAGATTGCCAGTAGCCTGTCTCTTTGGTAACTGGCATGCTGGGCTACAGAGTGGATAAGCCATGATTCTTGGTCTGCTGAGGGTAGTCTAGGTTTTGCATGTTGGCAGGTGAGTGGCCGTGACCTGGGCCAGAAATCTACAGATACATACTTCAGGCTGGGCCTGGATTTTCACCCCTGCCTTGATCTTCCATTCTGTTCAGTTCCCAGGGTGGAGCACGAGACCACAATGAGAAGGTGCCCCCAGAGCTGTGCAGTATGGGAGCCCATGAGGGCAACGCAGACAAAGCTGTGTCCCCTGCCAGGTGCACATCTGTGGCCATTCATGTGCTTGACCCTTCCAGATCTGGGTAAAGGACTCCGATGATTCTTTAATAATGTATACAAGATAGGGTAAGCCTCCATTCAACACCAGCCCAGTCTCCCATTCTTTTTTTTTAATTGTAAATACAATTTATTCACTGTATTTCACTGTGGAAATTTCCTTACATTATAATTCTTTTTTTGGGGGGGGTACTAGGGATTGAACTTAGGGGTACTCGACCACTGAGCCACATCCCCTGTCCTATTTTGTATTTTATTTAGAGACAGGGTCTCACTGAGTTCTTATGACCTCGCTGAGTTGCTGAGGCTGGCTTTGAGCTTGTGATCCTCCTGCATCAGCCTCCTGAGCCACTGGGATTACAGGCATGCGCCACTGTGCCCCACCCTTAAAATTCTTTTTAAGTAGTTTTATAACCAGTCTCCCATTCTTAACTGTGGGCCCCTAATGATGTGGACTGGGCCTGATTCTCCAACTTCAAAACTTTTACTTTTGCTAACTGGGTTCTAAATCTTGTTTTTAGACCCTGCTGCACAAAGGTGTGACCTTGGAAACTTATTTAAACTTTCTGTGCCTCAGTGTCCCTATTTGTTTAGTAGAGATAACAGCATTACCTATCCCTTGTGTAATTTTTCTAGTAAATGAGTTGCTAGATACGAAATGTTTGGAATAATTTCTGATGAACAGTAGGTGCTCAGTAAGTATTGGTATTACTATCACTGTTATTCTTACAAAGAACGTGGCAACTATGATTGAATTCAGTGGTTACAACCATTGTAAAGTGCTCTGTTATCTTCCTTCTCTTCTTTATTTAACTTATTTATTTAGTTTTTTTGGTCCTAGGGACTGAACCCAGGACCACTTAACCAATGAGCCTCACCCCAGCACTTTTTAAAATTTTTTTTTTTTTTGAAACTGGGTGCAGTGGCACATGCCTGTAAACCCAGCAACTCAGAATGCTGAGGCAGGAGAATTGCAAGTTCAAATCCAGCCTTAGTGACTTAGGGACACCCTGTCTGAGAAAGTGGGTGTGGTGGTGCTAGCTCAGGGCTTAAGAGCCTCTGGGTTCAATCCCCAATAACAAAAACAGAAGAATTATTTTGAGACGGGGGTTTCACTAAGTTGCTTACGGCCTGCCTAAATTGCTGAGGTTGTCTTTGAACTTGGAATTCCCCTGACTCAGCCTCCCAACCACTGGGAATAATGACCAGTTTATAACTTATATTTATTAAACCTACTATGTGCCAGGCACCTTGTTATGCACTTTAAAGACATTACTTATGTTTCTAACTTCGGCATAGTAACATTATTAATGCTATTATTACAATATAACATTAGCAGTTGATATTTATTAAGCATCTATTACGTGCAAGGCCTTGTGCAAAAAGTGGTATGTATCTGGGAACAGTGGTGCATACCCGTAATCCCGGTGGCAGGAAGATCGAGAGTTCAAGGCCAGTCTGCGAAACTTAGTGAGGCCCTGAGCAACTCAGTGAAACCCTGTCTCTAAGTAAACTACAAAAAGGGCTGGGGATGTGGCTCAGTGGTTAAGCACCCCTGTGTTCAATCCCTGGTACCAAACAAACAAAAAACAACAACAAAAAAAATGGTATGTAGTTTTTGTTACTCAACCACCAGACAAATCCTAGGAGATTGGTGGAGTTGTTATAACTAATAATGTCAGCAGGATTGACCAATAAGGAAATTGGTCTTTGTGACATTCAGTCACTTGCCTAAGGCCACACAGGAACCAAAAGAGGAAGTAAGGATTAAAACCAAGATCTAGATGGACATGATGGAGCACACCTGTAATCCCAGCACTCAGGAGGCTGAGGCAGGAGGATCGCAAGTTCAAAGCCAGCCTCAGCAACTTACTGAGGTCCTAAGCAACTCAGTGAGACCCAGTCTCTAAATAAAATATAAAAAAGGGCTGGGAACGTGGACTAGTCATCAAGCACCTCTGGGTTTAATCTCCAATAGCCTTCCCCCCTGAAAAAAAGCAAACGCAGGTCTGTGTGACTGTTTCTCTGGCTCTCTGCCACTTCATGCTACGCCCTTTGCAAGCTCTCATTATGACTGAATATGGAGAAAGCAGAAGTCACCAAACAACTCCCTTCAGCTGACCCTGAGGGTACCAGAGAAAGGGAACCCAGCAAGGGCAGCAGGAATCTCCTTATCCTCTTCTGTAATCCAAAAAGAAGCCAGTTGTGGCCCATCTCAGAAGGACCTGGGTGCCATGAGCAAATGGGAGGTGCAAAATCAAACACCTCCCCTCCCGAGCTCTCTCCTTCATTCACTGTGCCCTCGCCCAGAGGTGGGTATTAAAACACTCAGATTTATCTTTCCTTTAACACAACTAATGAAGTCTTTATCATTTCGTAAAAATAAATGAAAGTTTTTATTTCTATAATATGAAATGGACTTTTTAACTTTTGAAGGGAATGTGTAACACATTTCTTTCTTTTATCCCTGCTTGGGGAGTTGTAATTGCATTTTAACTGGTGCTGTTTCAGGAACAATTTTAACCTTGAATTGCAAATGGGTTGGCTGGAAGTGTGTATAAATCATTTCAACTTAGTTTTTATTATAAAAGTATTACAGGGAGTAATTAG